GCGGCGGTCAGCCAAAAAAATCCGTTGGCCAACCTCGTCTGCAAAATGACGTCTCGCGCCAACGGTCGGGCTGCTCTGGCACGCTTAGGCCAAGCGTCTGCGCACGCCTCAGCAACAAAACGCCAGTTGGCACACCGTCTGGATTGTTCTGACGCTTGCCGGCCAACGTGTGGCACGCTGTCATGCAAAAAACGTCTGATCACGCTTGCTGTCTGACGTTGGGCGCAACGTGCGCAATATGACGTTGGTGCCAACGTCCTGCGGTCACACGTTGGCGCCAACGTTTGCGGCCAACGTTGGGCCGCCCTGCAGCAGCAACAAACGTCTGCGCAGTCAAACGTTGGGCTGTCTTGACGTTGGGCCAACCGTTGGCAATATGACGTTGGCGCCACCCAAACGTTGACGCCGACCTGCGCTTGGGCCAACCGTTGTGCCCTGCCAACGTCAGCCTGCCCAACGTTGCCCACGCTGAGCCAAAAGCACGTTTGCAGCAACGTGGCCGCTCCAGCTACTACGTATGGCCAACGCCTTTAGCGCTCGAGCTGAAGACAGCGTCCCCCCTCCCACCCGCTCTCCGCGCTGCCGTCCCCCGGCCCCAAACGTTGGGCCAAACGTCAGCATGTTATCTCTTGCGGTAAGGCTGCCAAGGTGTCAGCGGCCGCCACCGCGTGGCTACTCGCTGCAGTGTCAGTAGGCCCAGCCTGGCCAGGTGTGGCCGGACACGTACACGGTCACAACTAGCGCCTTTTGCGCATTATGGCCGGCTATCTTTAGTTCAAACTCGTGTTTTCGCTCATCGTTAAGTAAACACGCCAATCGTTAGGGCACAAGTTTAGGATATGAGACATACAAATTGAAACGCGATTGTTCCACAATCATTGTTCATTGCCTATCCTTGACAATTCGATCGGCTGCCCCACATGTTGCGCATCTCGTTCTGCCCCTGGCGATGAAGCGTATGCTTTCAGTGATAAGTTGTTTTCATATCCAGGTATGTGCTGGTCATATGTCGCTTGGATTTGGACTGGTAGATCAACGACATTTATTACTAGAGTTGGTAGATATAGGACTGCCGACTAGCCTTAGCACCCGCTGTACTCGCTCGGCACGCTCATGTGCAAACCACTACTTATTATCGTGCAATTCTCTCTTCTCCATCGTTTCTCAGTTCGGTATACTATATCCTAGCTATTATACATCATCCTAGTCATATAATCTCTTATAGTCATTGATTCTAGTTTTTTTTTCATGCTAATTGAATAGAGAATTAAGGTCCATTTTTCTTATTTTCTTCTATTTGAAATCTGTTGTGCGGCGTGGGCGCTCGGCTTCGAGGCACCAACGACCGCGCCAGCCCCCGGATTCAGCTTTGATGGAGTTCTACCTTCCGCCGTTGCAAGATGGCGGGCAGTGCCGGCAGGCGTCACATTTGATAGGCCTAAGAGCTATCCGTTAGTATAGTAGAGCATCAGTGGCGCGGCTGGTGTACGAGCTTCTACTTCTATCTATTTCTGTGTCAGTCTCGATTATCAGCGCGCTACTCGCATGCGGCACCGGCATGCGCACGATGGTGCTAGAGTAATTTTCAGACGGCGTCCGCTCTTAATACCGAAAGGCCACCGGAACCCGGCACCGGAAGGCCCCAAAAAACACTAAACGGCGACCTATGAGAACACGATTCCACCGGAATGCACGCAAAGGCCCACCGAAAGGCATACCGAAAGCCACACCAAACAGGTTACCGAAAAGCACCAACAAGCGCACCCAGCTAACGATATAACGTTTTCGCAACATTTTTGAATGGTTATTTTATGCGTTTGGTATGAATGATAACGTTTTCAAAGCTTCGTAAACGTTTCTAGTAAAGTTATTATTGAGGTTATTTAAAAACGTTTTGCTAAAAAACGCCTTCTTTACGGTTAGCTACCACAACGTACGGTTACGTACAGTTATCAATAAGGTTGGTGAAATTGGTTCCCTTAAAATCGTTGCAAAACCAACTTTTATTTACTGTTTGGCATTACCACACCTTATTGTTTAGGTTCCTGACAAACGCATTTACCACCTAACGTAATTTTGATTCATAATTTACGCAGGGCGGCGCCACAACCATACGTTAAGCCATGCACGCCACACGCACGCATGCTACATCCGTGCACACGCCACGCGCATACCCACACGGCCACAACCCATATACAGGACACACCTTTGGCTGCGCGCACACACGGCACACACACTACACAAACACACACCGCACGCACGCACGCACGCACGCACGCACCGCATACACACAACACTGCGCGCGCGCAAACATGTATTATGCTTGCGTCTGTACACCAAGCCGCGGCCCTGTATAGGTGAACCACACTCTGTGATCTGCACACGCCATACGACACATACACAACTCGCCGCCCTGCGCCCCACGTACGTTCGCGCGACTAACATTAATGCCTCGCGCTGATTACCCAGATGGAGACGGGATACTAGAGAAGCGTTGCCGAAAGGAGCGGTTTGATCCAAGCGCTATACGCAGATCTTGCGCGCAATTCCGCGGCAAGGCGCCACGCGACCGCGGGAAACGTCCTAGACAGTATGCAGCGCTCGCAGCATGGATCCGTGCGCGAATGAATTTGGCCGCGCACGGCATCCATAGCTGCCAGCGAAGTCCGCAATTTACTGGGGGACACAGGGTAGACATTTGGGACGTGAACAGTGTGACTTGTTATAAAAACATAATTTCTCTCTTCGTACACGACTGTGTGACGCAAAATCACAGAAAGACTGACGAAATTCTCGCGTTGGCGGGAACCTTGCCCAGTGAATGGAAATGGGCTGCAAGGACAAAGCTATATAGACTGGGACTCGCTCCACCTCGATTACCCATCGAGTGACTAGCTAAGCGGAACACGTAGCCAATTATACATGCATAAACGCGCGCACAAACACATACATCGTATTATATGTAGGACTCTAGGCTATAGGCAGTAAAAAGAACCTGTATATAATAGAATTGCAACACTGCAGCCTCCATAAAAAATCGGTATTATTCATTTCTGGTATTACATGAGCCCTTATGAGATTATTTAAAATAATTTGTAATAGTGGGTTAATTTACGGTCCCAGTACACTTACTAGTTACTAGCCTTAGCTATATCACTATCAGTCTATGGATCAGTATACAGCAAGTGCCGTACACTATACAACTACTTGCAAGTACAACTTCCCGTCACTATGATATTGATAGTAATGTAAATAACCCGACAAGACTGTACATATCAGTGTATGACTGCAAGTCTGCACTGCAAGATCAAGGCTGCACTGCAAGATCATAGTTTTTGCTATAAGCAGCACGCTGGGACGATGTAATATATGCAAAAATGCTGTACGTAGGCCTACGCTCTCCAAACGATTTGAAAAGAAATACTCATCCAACAGCTTCGATCTTTGTTTCTATTTGAAGAACAGTGTTGACTAACTTGACTTCTTATGAAAACATAATGTCTCTGTTCGTAAGAGAACTGTGTCACGCGAAATCACACAGACTGACGAAATTCTCGCCACGACGCCACGCCACGAAGGCGGAGCTTTTCCAGAATCCAGATAACATCGTCATAATCATAATGGCAAACATGAGAACATCAGATTGGAGCGTTAAGATGGATACGGGAAGTTCATGCGGCAGTGACGAGTGCAGGGCTAGACGGCTACCGACCTTCACTCAGCCAACTATCGTTGGCTACACTGAAGTGAGTTACGCTAGCGTGTCGAACTGTGCACCGCGCGGCAGTCTAGGTCATGGAGCCGAGCGGGTTTTTTTTTTAAACCGTGGAAATGGTACGTAGATGGACTCGTTGCGCCATCTATGGGTGGCGATAACTTCCAAATTAATGTCAGGGCATCAACCAGCGAAAAGGGAAAATTATTTTTCTACACGAAAACGACGCGCGCCGAGCCACACACCAACAAAAACGAGCATTTGGATTTATTCTCGCCCTACGTGCAAAGTCGAAAGGCTTCTGCAATCGCCACAACTCCTCAATTGACCGATTACAGGCCGATTTGACAGAACCATGAAAATTGTTCTAAATATAGACAGCGATTAAGTCATGGTGTCGCCGCTGCGCGGCGTTTGCGCGCTTCGCGCGGATATCCGGGCTGCAGATCGTCTAGCACACGCAGTATACACGAGCCATAATATAAATAAAGGGTACAATAAACTAATT